ATCACTTATTCACAAACCTCGCGTGGGGCTAATAGTTTTCATTTCCCATCTCATGGAAAACCCTTTTCGCTCCGCTTAGCCTTATCCCCCTCTAGGGGTATTTTAGTGATAGGTTCTATAGGAACTGGACGATCCTATTTGGTCAAATACCTAGCGACAAACTCCTATGTTCCTTTCATTACGGTATTTCTGAACAAGTTCCTGGATAACAAGCCTAAAGGTTTTCTTATTGATGATATCGATATTGATGATAGTGACGATATTGATGATAGTGACGATATTGATGCTAGTGACAATATTGATGCTAGTGACGATATCGATCGTGACCTTGATACGGAGCTGGAACTGCTAACTATGATGAATGCGCTAACTATGGATATGATGCCGGAAATAGACCGATTTTATATCACCCTTCAATTCGAATTAGCAAAAGCAATGTCTCCTTGCATAATATGGATTCCAAACATTCATGATCTGGATGTGAATGAGTCGAATTACTTATCCCTCGGTCTATTAGTGAACCATCTCTCCAGGGATTGTGAAAGATATTCCACTAGAAAATGTAAATGATAACGTGTAAGCGAAGGTCAATTGACGAGTTATAAATTTAAATATTTTAAGTTTGAATTTCAGTAATTTTTTGAGAGTAGACAATGAAGAATTTATTTATTATAAATACTTTAGTCTTGACGTGTATATCATGACTTTGATCAAACCGAAGAAGAGATTAATCAAAATACACATAAATTGATCCAGACATACCTAACCATTAAACTAAAAGAAAAAGACAATGTAATGCCTTGACACCCGTAAATTTGCGGGCAAGAACAAGAAGGATTGTTATTCCTTAATGTAAAAGGCCCCAAAGTTGACCAAGTTTTTGTTTGTATTATTGTGATGAATGAATTCTCATGTCACGTTTGTGTTGCTCTAAAATTTGTTGAGGTCGATAGAAAAATCTCAATTGACAGATTATTTTTAGATTTAAGCGATTATTTGTGAGGAGTTAAAATGTCTTATTTCAGAATTTTTTTAGATGAAATTGATGGATAAATATACAGTACAAGGAACTAATAAAAAATGACTCTTTTATTAATTCAATCGGAGGGACTTTAGTTACAAAAATACTGAATAAACAACGTTGATTACAGCAATAACTGTTTTCTAAAAATAATCCAAAATTAATCTTAAAATACCCAGATCATGTGCATTGTGAGTGTAGGTTTTATCTGCTCCACTAAATTTCTTGAGAATTCAAGTGTCCATACACTGAAACGTTAAGTGTCCATACACTGAATATTCTTGAGAATTTATATTGTATATCTAAACAATTAGAAACCTCAAAATGGGACTGAATCACTATTGATTGGATGATTTTAGATATACTTTATAGCTTTGAGCACCGTGGTGCCTCGAGACGGGAGTGAACATTCTTGGACTTAAGTTCGTGTTTTGTTTTTCTTTATTGGCTGTGAATTACCCCTAACATTCTCCCGTCTCAAACAAATTGAAGGGAAGTCTTCAAGTGTCTTACTTGATTACCTGAACGTAGAAGAGTCTTACGTCCAAGTAATCACGTCCTTGATTCGAGGGTGTGACAACAACATTGTTAGTTGGTATCAAAATCAGTATACAACCTCTTTTAAGTATAGAATTAGCTTCTAACCTTCTTAGACTGAGGTTGGGTTCTCTCTCTCTCTCAACACCCATTCTTTAATTGCACATTAGTAAAAGACCCACAACGTAAAAATAATTTTATGGATACGTTGGTTGAATCCGAGAATGAATATGAAACGTTTTGGACTTGTACCAACTCAACTTCATTAAATCATAACTCAACTGTCTGGTGTGATATATATTCCAGGCTATTCTTATCCACAAGTTTTAAAAGAGTGTCAAGTTATTGGGGCTGTCAATGAATGGGTAACCTTGATGGTGCAGGTAGAAAGCATTTATTAATGAGAATGAATGCATAGAACAGTTGACATCTTTTCAAAAGAACAGATCTAGCATGGCATGCATGAGAGTTGTCTTTTGTTATCTTAAACTTAGTAAATTTTTTTTGGAAAAATTTCAGTCACATCCCTTCTAGTTTATCGTCTCTTCAAGAACACCCTTTCTATTTTATTGAATGGTCTTTTGTTGGTGAGACAGTATGGGTTAGAAAGTAATAGATTTATAGTTGAATCAGATTCTTTGGCCTTGGTAAATATGGTACAGGCTAAAATTCGTTGTTCTTGGAGAATGTGCTCTTTGGTCCAGAAAATTCTGAAGCTGCTGAATGGCTTGGATTTTCAATTGATACATATATTCAGGGAGGCGAATGGAGTAGCTGATTGTCTAAGTAAGGGTGTTGTCTCAAGAAAAATATCTGTTAATTTTTCGTTTCTTGATGCTTTGCCCAGTCCTAATACGGTGCTAATGGCGCAGGATCTATCGGGTTTGTCCACTGTGAGAAAAAAGCTTCGACTGGTGCGGTGCGATTTCTTCCCCCATGATGCAGCTGAATGGTGCTTGGTTGAGGAATTGGGCATCTACAAGAATGATTTTTGTCATATTATATTGCGTTGAAGGATTAAAGCCACAATTTTGGCTTTTTAGTTTCTTGTTAATATCCTTTACTTCTTGTAATTTTGGATTTACTCAATAAAATTTCTCTTTTCCTTAAAAAAAAAATAAATTTATCACCCTTGTCAGATTAAAAGTGTTACTTGAATACAATTTTACTAAATTGTTCATTATATATTTTAGAAAAACCTTCATCTACACCCCTATTAGATAAATATATTTTTAATGAGATTCCTTCTATTTTTTAATTTTTTTTAATACAGGCCGATTAAAATAAAATTCGAACTAATTAAAATTATTTTTTACATATTAAAATTTAAATCAATTAAAATTCTATTCGAATCAAAATTTAATCAACTCGCATTGAATTTTAATCAACTCAAATTTTGATACATAAAAAGTATAAATTTAATACATTAAATAAAAATTTTAATCAACTTGAATCGAATTTTAATTGGCACAAATTTTAATAAATAAAAAAATATAAATTTTAATTGGCACTAACAACTTAAGTAATACTCAAATCGACTTAAATTTTAGTACTTAAAAAAAATAAAATTTAATTAGTTCAAATCAAATTTTAATCGGCTTAAATTTTAATATGCAAAAAAACAAATTTTAATTAGTTCAAATTTTAATATGTAAAAAATAAAATTTTAATCGGCTAAAATTTATGTAGAAAAATTGTTTGAGATTTATGTATGGACAATTTTGGTATTTAGATAAAAAAAAATTGTTAGAAACAATAGTTTAATAGTAAAGAGTGTCAGTGATGTTTAAATATAAACTAAAAAAAGTGTCAGTGATATTTTGAATAATAGAATAAGCATTTTTGAAAATATGATAAACTAGAAGAAATATGGCTAAATTTTTTTTATTTTTCTCTCGATCCTCTTTTTATAGTTTGATGAAGGTAGAAAAGCATTTAAATGCGAAAGAATGGATGAAATAATGGCCTATTTTCAAAGAACTAAGCCTAACATGGGATGCATGAGAACTGTCTTGTGATCTTATTCATTCGTATTTTTTCTCCCAATTCTTTATAGGGTTTATTACACATTTTCCCTCTACATTTTTACCTAGTTTCCACTCTACTTCTCATTTTTTTAAAATAAATTCATCCTTTAATTTTTTACAAAAGATAGCCAAAACTTTCACAAGCAAAGGCACGTGTACATTACTAGTGCACGTGTCATGATTGACATTTTTCATCAAGTAGTGTGACACGTAGATCTAAAGCACACTTTCCTAAAAACAATAGTAATTTAAAAAAAAAGCCTAGTAGTAATTCAAAAATTAATAAAAAAATATAAGAAAGTTATTTTTAAATTGACAATTTTATAAAAAAAATTTCAATAAATCAAACTTTAAAATAAACCAAACATATTCAATAAAAAAATATATATATAAACACCAATATATATACCCATCACACACACACACATATATATATACACACACAGTATATATATATACCCCTCACACACAATATATATATCTATATATATACACACAATTACACAATACATAACACACCCATTACACACACACTATCTATATATATATATATATATACACGCACACACAGTCACATAGATCTAAAGCACATCCGCTTTAGATCTGAAGATGTCTGAAGAGAGACACCTTCGTTGCACAGAGAGAGAGAGAGAAGACGTTGTGCTTCGGTGATTTGAAGAAGAGAGAGAAAGGGCATGGAAGAAGAGAGAGAGAGGGCATGGAGACGCTAGAGAAGATGATGTCTGGAGAGAGAGGAAGATAAAAAAAAAAAAGGAATGAAAACTTTTGTTGCTAAGAGAACTCGAATGACAGATCTCATTAAAGTCCAAAATTATTCTTCTTGTTCCCAAAATTTTCAAAAAAACTCTACAAACAAGCTAGACTTGTTTTTTATTTCTTTGCTCAAAATCTCATTTTTTTCTAAAAATTGGAAAAAAAAAAATTAAACAAACAAATTTTAGGTGTTTTTGAAATTTTAAGAACATAAAACAGTTTTCGAACCTCAAACCAAACACGCCCTGCATACCAAGTGTGATCAGGTTTCTAGAAGAAAGTTCACATCAGTAGGAAGCATTGGGCCACTTGATATATACCTGGTGCAAACTTTAAAATTGTCCAACAGATTAATAGAAAACGATAATGCAGAATTGATAGTCCGGAGTTCTAAGGATTTAGTAAAAATGGAAGCTTTTGTACAAGATATCAGAGTTTCTGCAAGAAATTTCCATACCCAATTTAGCTTCAAACCAAGGAGTTGTGACAAAGTAGCACACTAGGTGGCCTCTAAAGTCATTGCAGATTCACTTCCAGACTTACCAGTGGACAAATCTCATGCCAGCCTATTGATTTGCTTGTCATTGGATTGTAATTCTGTTTTCATCTAGTTTCAAGAAAGCTAATACACTAATACAAAATAAAGGTATGTCAAATTGAACTGCTAGACATGTCTACCCAAGCTGCATGTGTACATGTACATGTATTCAACCTGGGTACTTTGCATATATTGAAGAGTCCCAAGTACAAAATTCTTGCGGTAAGAAAATCATGCAGTGCCCGAGTTTGTTTAATCATTCTATCTCGTCAATCATATTTATTCTGGTGGATCTGCCAAATTTACAGTCAACTCATCTCCACGGTAACCCCATACAGCATCAAGTTCGTTGGAGTACACATCTATTTAGAAGTTTCTGTACAATATGGAGCAAGCCAGCCAGAGCTTCGGACTGAACAGCTTAATGAAAAACTTCAAGGTATCTTCATGAATGTCAAATATTACCAAAAAAAATTCATCATCATCTTTCATGTAAGCAGCTTGAAAAATATCATAACGCATTTTCTCAGTACAATAACCCATGAACTTTCCCAATCTAGTAACTCTTTGTTGCCATGATAGCTGACATACCTAGGAATGTCAGCGTCTTGAATTTTTATGGACCAAAGGCACAAAGCTTCTGTCAGGGAAAGAGATCCTGAGTATCAAGGATATCTGCAAGGACGCCTGCTGCTGTAGTATCATTGCCTGCTCCCGCACCTTGAATAACCAATGGTCGATCATTATAACACCGGCTGTATATCTCCAACTGCATTAGATGGAACACAAATGCTAACTCGTAAATCTTCATCTAAGGTGTAGCAGATGCATATTTCCCAAAAATGCTTTAAAGCATACGAGAAATTTAAGTAAAAGAATGTTCGAACAATATTTATAAACGCTACAGGCTTTCATCCAAATAAGTAACAAATTTGGCAAGAAACTTTGTTTGCCCTCGCCATATTTGAATTTTTGTTAAGCAGTAATGCATCAAGCCAAAAAAAAAAATTGGACAGATGCATTTCAATGAATGGAGATAACGCATGAAAACAGATTTTTGGTCTCGCACACACGTGATTTCAGAGCAGTAGGTTCCTGTTTTAACTATTATCTGTTCATGAAATGAGGCACAGTTTGAGCAATCTAGTGGGCATAAAAGATTTGAGATATTCATCCGACTAGTAGAGTAAAACCCAAGTAATGCATATCATCGCATTAGACTTACAGAAGTATGAAGCACAATTTTACATAGAAAGGTATGGATGTGAAAGAGGAATTAAACACACTTTCTGGCATTGTTCTAAGCATCAGCTCAGTTGTTTAAGACAAGTCTTGCTTGCATTTCTCTCTTCTGTCACTCACAATTTTCTTTTGCTTTAGCTAAACTCTAGTTCTCTCCTACAAACTTTAATCTCTATTGTTGTTTTATAGTAAGGATTCTAACAAAATACTTGATTTGGATATTGGCTTTCAGGTGAAGGTGTCCTTCAGTAAGTAACTCATCTAAATCATCCAAGAATTGTTAAGGTCAAGTATGAAGAGTCAGTTAAGTTTCGTGGCTTATTTCTGTTGATGCCCTTTAAGTAAGTTTAAGCACAGTTTGCATGAGTTTATGCATGGTTGTTAGATATTTAAGCAGGTGTAAACAATAGCTAGTCAACCACGGAGGGCTTTGGTCAACAAGGGGTCTGGTCAACCATTAGGGAGGCTTAATTCTCCAGCCACTGAGACTAGTCGAGTAGGGTCGTCCAGACTTGCTCAAGACTTTGAAATACAATGTTTTCTCACATCAAACTATCACTAACCTGCTGTGCTGTCTCTTTCATATATTATTTAGGCAGGACGATTAAGTGGTCTTAAGCTTAAGTAGGGAAGTATAGTAGCAAGGTTCTCATGTTTGCCATAAATCGTTTTGTCTTGCTAGTGCACAGATTCATAAGAACTGAAAGGTGGTTTTGATGATTAGCATATTTCTATTGAGTTCAAGTGAAACTCTGTCAGATCTCTAGTCACATCCACTCCAAAGAAGGGTGGGTGTGCCAGTTGCAAGTGCAAAAATCGTCATATATAAAACTACTCAATCAACTGACTGTTAATAGGGGGAATTGACCGAATCTCACCCTCCAAATAACAAAATAAGAAATGGCATCCTTTTCAATTTTATTATGTATATAACAGACACAGAGAAGATACAGCAATGAAGAGAGAACAATCAACTAGAAAAGCTTCATAACAACCAACCCAGGGATTCCGTAACAATGGGGGTAAAAAAGGATCCCTTTGCTCCATGACCCTAAATCCCTTGATAAATCTCTTGGGTCTTGATGCTTTGGTTTATAATTGGATAAATATACATATACTTCAGCAAAGACCCTCAATGCTCCATGCACTAGCATGAGATAGAGCAGGATGAAAGTTGCCACTTTAGTTCAATGCTGATTTTCTATTTTTCTATTGTCTCTTGAGATGCCAGATGACAAATTCCCAGTTTACCAAATCTAAACTTCACATCATATCAAGTGTCAGCTACAAGAACAGATACGAAACATTCTCAGAATCAAATACCAAAAAAAAAAAAAAAAGAGAAATCTTCAAAAGTGTCGCTGGATAACATTTCCAGCTATCCTGTATGCATTCTCAGCAATCTCATTGATTCATAGCTTTATATGCTGGCAGCTTTGGATTTTTAAGGTGTTAAAAGTGAGAAACATTTAATCCTGGCTTGTCTTCAACATTACCTCATCCAATGAGCTCATCAATCACTGCCAGAATCCTGACTTTATCGTACTCCCACACTTGCTAGTGTGATGGTGAATTGGTCAGGCCATGGTTACATGTCCTAACCAAAATGTAAGTGCCTCTCACTGAGCCACTTCCTACAATTTCCTTCTGAAGCACACGAGCAATGTGCAGACTGTAGGTCGGAGAAAAATTATTGGTTTTGAATGCTAGTATTGCCACAAAATTAAGCTACCTGACCTCCAACAATCCCCCTCATATAGGCATTTTTTCTTTTTCTTTTTCTTTGGGAGTTGAAGGGGGAATTGAGGGAAATCCAACTAGACATGGTATAAAAACAACTATTGCTACACCTCTTGAAACTTTGAGTTACACACTTCAATTATGCTTGTCAACTCAAACTCAATTCAACATAGTGTTGTTCAACTATGTGAGATCAACTACATGAATCCTATTGTCCCAGCTATTCGGATTCATACTAACCAGAAAAAAAAAAAAAAAAAAAAACTATTCAGATTCATAAATCTTGGTTCTCTATTGTGCTCTATCAAGACCTATATTTCACCTCAAACCACACAATCTATCAATTGGACCAAAACTATTAGCTTAGCTAGCATACTGGGGAATTCTAGTCACTTAGTCAATTCATACCACTCTCCTTCGAAGTTAATCCCATTCTTCCTCCACCCTTTACAAAACCATCAATTGGTATCACATCACTCTGGTGCAATAATAGGTTTTCTACAAAAAGTCCAAGCCCCATAAGTTGATTCTCTCTCTATTTATCTTATATTGGTGAATCTTTTACTTTTTCACAAGTGTACTATTCCAATTCTACCATTTCTAGGTTTTCTCGCACTTTCATTTTGATATCCTAATTCTCTTCACATCAAATTTTAGGCGTATTATTTCTTAATTGTCCAACCTACACTCCTCTATTAAATTCACCCTGCTTTAATTTTATAAGCAACATTGTCGCGAATCTCATCTCTAGGGATAATTGACCACAAATATCGAAAGTGGTCATTCTTTACGATCTCCTAATCTTCCATCTTCATTATCTCATTTGGATTTCTACTTTTAGAAAAGTTGCATTCTATATATTAGATATTCATTCTATTATCCTAAATCCTTTAGATTCTGAAATTTCACTTTAAATCCCTAAATTATTATTAATTCTTCTTTTACTTTGGTTAACCAATATCATATCATGGAATCACATCAATTGACTTTTTCTTGTGAAACTATAAATTTATTTAGAATGAGAACTCTGAACCTATGATTAATTAATACTCAACTCAACAAGCCCAACATTTTTGGGGTTGGCTACAATGTTTTTAGTTAAACCATAAGTTATCATATCTTTATTTACTATTTCATTTAAATTTAATTTTGGTCTTTCTCTATCTCTATGTTTACCTTTATTAACTATCATATCATTCTTTCTCACTGGTACTGTAGTAGACTGTCTATAGATATGTCTGAATCACCTAAGTCAATTATCCCTCAACTTATCTTTTATTTGTGCTACCTCCCCATTGTCTCAGATATATTCGTTCCTAAATCTATCTTTCTTAATCTTACCACAAATCCATTTTAGCATTCTCATTTCTGTCACACATAACTTTTGAACATGTTTCTTAGTTGTCCAACACTCATTACGGTAAAGCATAGCGGGTGATGTAGATCATATTAAAGAAGAATTAGGGATGAGAAGGGAAAAAGAAAGGAATGAGAAAAAAATAAGAAGGAGATGAGAATAGAGATAATTTTAGAAAAAAGATTCAATATCAATAATCAATAATCAAAGTCTATCAAAACAAATAACATATCTCCTATATATATATATATAGGGAGACCACAAATCCTAAAAGAACTCTAAAAAAAATAAATAGTCATAATGACAACTAAACCCGTGAAAAGCATAATGACAAATAATTCCTAATTCTTACGCCTACGCCTACTATAACGAAATATAATCTGATTCCTATCATTTCTCCCCAGCTGAAAAGAACTCGCCTCCGGAGAGATACGATCATGATAATGCTCTAGAAGATCAGGGTCAAGCCAATGAAACTCCTCCTCAGTAATCCATGAATCATCAGTCTCTGGACGATCTCTCCACCGAATAAGATAACGACGATATCTTCCATTCGAGGAGCCCACAATCTGATCATCAAGTATATCTGCGATCTGGTCATGCAGCTGTGGTGGAAACGGTGGAAGAATAGGAACTGTAGTTGATCCTGATGACGAAGCAAGTCCATCTGTAGGAACACCTGCTGGAAACATAGGAGGCTCAAAAGTACCATGATAAGGAAACAAGTCCTCCACATTGAAAATAGGACTAACACTCATTCGATGGTAAGTCAAGGTGATATGCATTAGGTCCAAGCTTACGAAGAATACGAAAAGGGCCAGTGGCTCGAGCAAGTAACTTTTTGAAAGAATTTTTAGGGAAACGTTCAAGACGCACAGGAACCATGACATTGTCTGCCACAATAAATTCTTTATTCCTACGATGAACATCTGCAGCCAATTTATAATTCTCATTACTTAATGTAATTTTCTGTCTTATGTCGGCATGCAAGTCATGAATATGCTGGACAAAAGCTTCGCCTGAGTGTGAGGGGCGGGATTCAGGAGGTAAATGTAATAAATCAATGGGCTGTCTAGGGGAATGGCCATAAACAATCTCAAAAGGGGATAAACCAGTCGACCTGTTGACAGAGTTATTATAGGCAAATTCAGCAGTAGGCAACAACAAATCCCAATTTCTCATCTTCTCACCCACTAGACACCTAAGCAAATCTCCTAAACTACGATTGACTACCTCAGTTTGACCATCAATTTGGGAATGAAAAGCAGAGGAAAACTTAAGACTTGTTCCAAAGATTTTCCAAAGTGTCTTCCAAAAATAACTCACAAACTTGACATCCCTATCAAACACAATGAAAATAGGCAACCCATGTAGTCGAACGACCTCTCTAAAAAATAACTTTGCTACATGTGAGGCATCAATAAACTTGG